CTAATTTCTTCTTTGCACAGGACTACTTAACAAACCACAATCAACAGCACCCAAACGTCACACAGTTGCAGAAGCTATCTGCAGCTGGCAGAATCACACCTTACTGGAACATGAGGCAAATCATAGTCAGCTTCGAAAAGCAGCCTCATATCCCCACACCTGGGATTAAAATGAAAACATATTCTTATAATATTGCTGTGTTTTTAAAGAAACCAAAATTTAATTCTTTCTACAGGGGGTATTGGAAGGAGAGGAGGGAGGGAAAACTGTGGTTTGGGATATAATATATGAGAGAAGAATAAGTAAAAATAAATAAGGATTGTCATAAATTCAAGGATAGCCAAACTCTAAAGTAAGTGCCAAGGTAGGTAGGAATACACAGCAAAAACCTAGCTCATTTTAAATTAATATTGTCGGAGCCATTGCTTCCAGTCAGTACTTGTGTGAATCCATGCTAGGCCTCCCAAATAAGTAAAATACAAGCAAGCCCCTCTCTTTAGACATTCCTGGACAGGGAGAATGAGGATGAAGAACAAGCTACCTGGCTGAGCAGTGAGCCTCCACACATTCGTGGAGACCCTGTAAGAGTTCTCATCAGTACAAGGGCAGAGTGGAGAGCCGGAAAGGCTCATATAAGAGGGTTCAAAAACAAAAGGATAAAACAGCAAGTGGACCACGTAGACACTGCAGGAATCCGCCTTCAGTTCGCTAACAGCAGGAATCCTTCAATGAGCATGAGCCCCTCAGGGCAAGTCTCAGGTGTCCCTGACCCAAAACTCCAAAACTCCTTAGACATCAGGTGCGCACAGGTGAAGGAATTAGAAGTGATGGTGAGAGGTTTAGCTGTCTGGGAGCTGTGAGATCTAAGATGTGGCAGTTTCTGCTGGGTATAGAGACCCCATTGCATTTCAGTGTGAGAACCCATCGTTATCTTTTTTTGCTACAGTGGCAGCTGGCAGCCCCACAGTAGTCCAACAGGCCTCATCCCGGGAAGGCGCTACGCAGAGCTTGAGTCCGCGGGGAGGGGCGGGGCGGGGCGGGGCGGAGCCTCCCGCGGGTCCCTCAGGCTTGTCGCTGGCCACCTCTGGGTCCTACCGGCGTCTTTGGCGACCTGGGGGAAGATGGCGGCGCCCTGGTGGCGTGCGGCGTTTGTCGGCATCGGGAGATGCCGGGGCTTCAGCACCTCGGGTGAGTGGTGGTGCGGGGTTGTGGAGCTCTTGGGCTGCTGTAACTCCAGCCTTGGGCTCCAGCCGGCGCCCCGAGCCAGCGTGACGCCCCGGTCTCTGCCCGCAGCCTCCCTCGGCCGCCGGACACCCCCGCTCGGGCCCATGCCCAACGAGGACATTGACGTGAGCAACCTGGAGCGGCTGGAGAAGTACCGGAGCTTCGAGCGGTACCGGCGCAGGGCGGAGCAGGAGGCGCGGGCCCCGCACTGGTGGCGGACCTACCGGGAGTATTTCGTGAAGGAGACAGGTGCGGGGCGGACGGGAGCAGGAGCAGCGGACGGCCGCCCCGGGGCTTGGCGAGCTGGAGACCTGCTGGCGTATTCGCCCCAGCTTTGGGGCCTGTGTGCTCCCGGGACGAGGAAGGACCTGCTTGCACTCCTACTTGCCATTAAGCCCCTCTAATTCCCACACCTTTTGGTTCGCCCACTTGGAAAGCCTCTTCCCCAACTATCAGAGTTCTTCTAACTCATCCACTGAAATCCTTTCCTGGCGGTCCCACCCCCATTTCGTGTTGGGAAACCCCTCTGTGTTCCTAAAATGCTCTCCCCGGAGCCCCAGCCACACCTTGTCCTGCTTTCCAGATTCCTCACAGATAGTCGGTACACTAAGCACAGAATCCTGCGTCTTGCCCGCCGTCGGATCCTTGCATCCACAGTGCATGACTCTACGTGGGCAGTAATTTGCTAGGTGAAATTTAAAACCCGGACAAAGTGACTTAGGGAACCAACGTTAAAGGATTTACTCCTAGTGTGTATTCCTTTTATAGTTCTGAGACAGCCTGGCACGGTAGGATGGCCTCGAAAAAAAAAAAAAACTGTGTAACCTAGAGGCCAGAAAAGGACATCATCCCTTGGAGCTGCATTGTAGGCATTTGTGAACTTGTGAACTGCCCAGTGTCCCTGCTGGGATCCATGGTCCTCAGGATAAAGCAGCTAGCTCTCTCTCGGGTCTAATGTGCATTGTGTGAACTTGACAGAGGTGGGTTTGGTTGCTGTTTTTTTTGTTGTTGTTGTTGTTAGGCCTTCTAGGGACCAAACTAGAGCCTAGTGCATGTTAGGCAAGGGCTGCGCCTCTGGGCTCCATCCTCAGATTTCTGTGGCGTTTATAGGCATGAGCATGGATCTGGATAGCCCTGTTGAAGCCCCAGGCTGTCATACAGCTGACTGAGGATCCTCAGTTTCCTCAGATGTATTTTTATGAAGCAGTAGCCCTGGCTTGTTTAGAATTTGCTATGTAGACTGGACTTGCCTACAACCTACAGAGATCTTCCTGGCTCTTCAAATGTAAAATGAAAACGTGTCTCTCACCAAATTGAGGTGAGAAGTAGAGGTAACAGTGGAACTCCTGGACTAACTGTCTCCTGTGATAAGAGCTCAGTACATGCTGTGTGTCAGGTAAATAGGTGAGTGCTGGGCGGAAGGTTTTCTAGGTCCTTGCTATTCGAAGTGGATTTCACAGTCAGCAGCACAGTCATTCCTAGGAGCCGCCCAGACCTGTAGTCTTGAGTTGGTCAGCATCTGAATTTAAACAAACTTTCAAGTGATGGATGTATGGTTTATTTCCCTGTGAGACTCAGCCAGGTTGCAGTGGTGATCCCAGCACTCAGGAGGCAGAAGTACATGGAGCTCTTGATTTCGAGGCCAGCCTGGTCTACAGTGTGAATCTCAGAACAGCCAGGGCTACACAGAGAAACACTGTCTTGGGGGTGGGTGGGTGGGTGGAGTATAGGACAGCATTATTTTGTTTTCTGGTTTTTGTTGTTTGTGATAGGGTCTCATTAGCCCAGCCCAGGCTAGCCTTGAACTCTGTATGTTCAAGGATGACTCTGCACATCTGATTGCCTTGTCTCTGCCTTCTAGGTGCTGTAATTACAGCTGTGAACCACCATGCATGGCTGGAGACGAGGGTCTCACTATGTAGACAAGGCTGGCCTCAACCCCACAGATCCACCTGCCCCTGCCTCCCTAGTTCTGGAATTAAAGGCATTTAGCACCAGCTGGGGAGCTGTTTCCTTAAATCTGCCTGAAACTATTACTAATTCTAACTAAGACTTGGGTGTGTGTTCATGGCCACCTTTGAATCACTTTTTTCCTTATCTTTATCTTTTGGGTTTTTTGTTTGTTTGTTTGTTTGTTTGTTTGTTTGTTTTTGAGACAGGGTTTCTCTTTGTAGCCCTGGCTGTCCTGGAACTTGCTCTGTAGACCAGGTTGGCCTCTAACTCAGAGATCTGTCTGCCTCTGCTGAAATTAAAAGTGTGTACCACCGCTGCCCAGCTACCTTTGATTCATTTTAAAGGTACTGTAGTAACCAGTTAGGAAACCTGTCTGCCTCAGTTTTCCATGTTGTGACCCAGTCTGTGGCTCAGAAGCCACAGTTTCACCTTATATCTGATTTGCTCAGTAACTGAGCCCTGTTCAGGTCTGGGAAGTAGACCACATAGGTTAGCTCTGGGTCCTAGGGATAGTTCCATCAACTTCTGGAATAGATAAAGACAGGCTGCTCAACAGAGATTTAATTTGGGGCCAGGAAGGTGAACTAGTGAGTCACTGAGGTGTCTGCCTGCGCCCACCCACCCTCAGAGCAGGAAGACCTGAGTTCGGGTCTCCTGTACCCACACAGAAGCCAAACATCAGGTCTGCCTCTAACCCCAGGGCTGGAGCTGCCTAACGCCAAGATCTCTGGGGCTCAGTGGCCAGCCAGCCAAGCCAGTCCTCAAACTGCAGCTTCAGTGAGAGACTCCTCAGAGAACAACACTGAGGGCAGGGCTTAGAGCCATACACCTTTAATCTTGAACTTGGGAGGCAGAGGCAGGCAGCCTGTTCAAGGTCAGCCTGTTCTACAGAATGAGTTCCAGGACAGCCAGGGCTACCTAGACAGGCCCTGTCTCAGGGGGATATGGGGGATGGGACAGAGAGCAGTGGAACAAGACACTCCAGGTCAACCTCTGGCTTCCACACGAACCAATATCCACAACCACACATGCATTCAAGAACTCAAATTTAAAGAGAAGATTTGACCCCTGTTGTCCCAACATGTCTGTCTTCTCTAGATCCCAAAGACAAAGTTGACATCGGGCTGCCCCCAACCAGGGTCAATCGGGCCCAGCAGCAGCTGGAGAGGAAACGCTTTGTCAAGGAGCTTCGAGCCAATGTGGAAGAGGAACGGGCCGCGCGCCTCCGCACAGGTGAGCCTCGCAGAAGAGGGGCCCCGGGTGCACCCGCCCCCACTGTATCCAAATTATCCTGTTCCTCCCCAGCCAGCATTCCACTGGAAGAAGTTCGGACAGAGTGGGAGAGGACATGCGGGCCCTACCACAAGCAGCGCCTGGCTGAGTACTATGGCCTCTACCGAGACCTGTTCCACGGTGCCACTTTTGTGCCCTGGGTCCCTCTCCGCGTGGCTTATGCCGTGGGAGAAGAAGACCTGATCCCAGTGTATCATGGCAATGAAGTGACTCCAACTGAGGTACTGCTTCTGTGCCCTTCTGCTCTGTGTACACATCAGCACACCCATCGCCACATCACAGCGTCTAAGTTTGAAGTTCTAGGATTTTGATTTCCTGAAAATCAAAACCATAAAAGTTACAGAAACGAGACAGACAGAAGCCTCCGGGACCATGTCTCTTGGCGTGATCCTGATAGGTCAGATCTCAGGTCAAGCACCTGGGTCTGTACACATCATTCCCTGTCAGTGTCTGTGTGGTACTGTCAGGGGCCCTGGTTCTCGCAGGAGTGGGCACTACCCTCTCCAGGGCCCCAGCAAGCGCCAGCCCTCTACCAACAACCTGCAACCTGGTGAGGGCGAGCACTCCATTGATCTCTCTCTGCTAGGCTTCCCAGGCCCCAGAGGTGACCTACGAGGCAGACGAGGATTCCATGTGGACTCTGCTACTCACCAACTTGGGTAGGTGTTTGGGGGGTCACCTGGCCTCCAGCCTCCCACTTCCCCTCCTTCCCCTGAGCCAAGAACTTGGGGATCTGGACAGTGTCACGCTTGAGCTCTGGCACCTTTGGAAGGTTATTGCTGTGTGTTTCTGTGCAGATGGACACCTGCTGGAGCCAGATGCTGAATATGTCCACTGGCTGCTGTGAGTATCTGTGTGGGAAGCCAGCCGGGCCATTCCAGGAGGCCCTGGAAACTCAGGCCCTGCGATTCACAAGCACAGGAGAAAATGGCTGAAGCCAGGTGTGGCAGTGCATACCTTTAATCCAAGCACCCTGAAGGCATAGACAAGCAGATATCTGAGTTTGAAATTATGAAATGGGACCCTGTCTCAAAAAAAAAAAAAAAAAAAAGTGCACTAGGCCCTGGCCAGTCCTCACAAATCTCTTCATTGCTCTGAGCCATTTTCTATCCTGTGAAACTGCTGAAACAGTCAGTGGGGAAAGACCCAGATCAGCTCGCGGCAGCGGCAACATCTGCAGACACTGGATCCGTGGGCGTTTCTGCCCTGAGCAGTCCATACTGGCTCTCCCCCTCCATTTTTTTCCTTGCTGGCTTCAGCTCTGAGCACAGGCCAGTGGGCAGAGGTCACACAGGTGCCCCAAGCATTGGGATCCCCTGTAATTGAATCCAGTAACTGGAAAGCTGGTTTCTGCCTCCCCCCGCCCACTATCACCACCTCAAGTACAGTCATCCAAGTATTGAGCAGGGCTCTGGGCAGAGACTGCAGTGGCTACCACAGCATAGTCACCTGACATGACACTAGGGTGTGGAGAGAAAAGCCGCCCAAAGGTGGTGTGGCTTCCTGACCTAAATGATGGGCAGACACCCCAGTTCTTATGCCCAGAGTGACTCGGCTGGTCCACCTTGTCACCAACTATGGGATTTTTGTCTTGTTTTAACTAATACCAGCAAATTGCAGAAGTCTCCAAATCGAGTCTTTTATAGATTTCTTAACTTTATTATTTCAGCCAGGTGGTAGCAGCACATGCCTTTAATCCCAGCACTTGGGAGGCAGAGGCAGATGGTCTCTGTGAGTTTGAGGCCAGCCTGGTTTACAGGGTTCCAGGAGAGCCAAGGCTACACAGAGATACCCTGTCTCAAAAAACAAACTATTTTGTTTGTACGAGCATTTTGCTTGTGCCCCACATGCATGACTAGTGCCTGTGGAGTTGGATTCACTGGGAATTACAGGTGGTTGTGTGCCTCCGTGTGGGTACTAGAAATGGAACCTAGGTCCCCTGGAAAAGCAGTTAGTCTCTTAGCCACCGAGCCATCTTTCCAGCCCCTCACTGGTTTCTGACCCTAAAGTACTTGCAGCATGTCCCTGAGGCCCTGGAGGCCGGCTTCTAGGTTGCATGCTAGAGCTTGTTCAGGGCCTGGCCCCTGGGGGTGACTCTGCCTCCAGGGTGCAGGGTTCTCCTGGCATGGCAATTAATGGGTACTTTCCTCCTACCAGAACCAACATCCCAAGCAACAGGGTGGCCGAAGGACAGGAGACATGTCCCTACCTCCCTCCCTTCCCTGCTCGAGGCTCCGGCTTCCACCGCTTTGCCTTCTTGCTGTTCAAGCAGGACAAGCCAATCAACTTCTCCGAGGACACCCGTCCCTCACCCTGGTAATGTATACCCCGCCTAGTGCCCTGATCCTCATGCCAGCTCCCTGGGATGGTGGCTCTTGCTCCTTCCTCCTCTTAGTTCCGGCCTTGCGATTGGCAGCAGTCCCGAATGCTGGGTGGACTCCAGGGGCTTCCCAGGATTGCCTGTCCTGCTGCCTACCACTCTCACATGCCACCCATCTTGTCGCAGCTACCAGCTGGCTCAGCGGACCTTCCGCACTTTTGATTTCTACAAGAAACACCAGGAAGCCATGACTCCCGCCGGCCTGGCTTTCTTCCAGTGCCGCTGGGATGACTCAGTCACCCACACCTTCCATCAGCTTCTAGGTAAGGGCATTTGAGACTGGTGGTCGGGCAGGCCTAAGGACAAAGACCTTTCCTGCCATGTCAGGAGGCAGCCTTTGCAAACCAAGGTGGGCAGTCTCTGGCAGGGCTCCAGCCTCACAGAAAGGAAGGACGCCCAGTCAGCAAGAGTCCACCCCTGTCCTCTTACTTTTCCTGCAGACATGCGGGAACCTGTGTTTGAATTTGTGAGGCCACCCCCTTACCACCCCAAACAGAAGCGCTTCCCTCACAAGCAACCCCTACGCTATCTGGACCGATACAGAGACAGTCATGAGCCCACCTATGGAATCTACTGAGAGGCACAGAATGTTCACCTCAGAGGCGGAGCTGGCACAGCTGGAAGGTCACACCTCAGGAAAGAGCCATCTGAAGGCGTGTCCAAGGCAGACCCTTGCACAGGCCCCTCCCATCAGGCCCAGGGGCTTGCTGTGAAAGTGCTTCAATTGTATGTGAATAAAATAATTTGTCCTGGGTTGGAGAGATGGCTCAGCAGTTAAGAGCACTGTCTGCTCTTCCAAAGGTCCTGAGCTCAGTTCCCAGCAATCACATGGTGTCTCCCAACCATCTATAATGAGATCTGGTGCCATCTTCTGGTGTGTAAGCATACCTGCAGGCAGAATAGTATATAAATAATAAATACATAAATCTTTTTTAAATAATGGTTTTTCCTGACACCGATATGTAGCCCTCTGGTGAGGCCATAGTGAGAAGAGGGGCACATGCCCTGCAGCCTGGCAGCTGGACATGCACATGAAAAGTGAAGCTTTGCCCTGTGAACAAAACAGCCCTGCTATCACAGGCCCTTCATGGAGGCACTCGTGCCCCTGGGCTTGGGATAATCCCAGTCAGACCTAGCAGCAGCTTGGTTGGGACCTTAGCATAATTTCGAGCCAAGGCCTCGATCCCCACCATGTGGCCAGATGTCCTCCCTGAGCTAAAGAAGTAGGCCTTCTAAAAACACGTCATTCGTTCTAAGAGATCTCTGATTCACTGCCCTGGAGGCCCTGGGACCCTTATCTGCTCTGCCCAGCTGCACAGGCAATGATAGTTACAACAGAAACAGCTGGCAGGCCAGGAACTCCCCCAGTCAAAGGTGTGGCTTCCAGGGGCCAAAGAGGGAGGTATTGGGTAGCTGGAGGTAGATGCCAGAGGCCACTAGGGTCTGCACAGTGAGACCTCATCAAATAAAGGATAAGGGGTCTCTCGAACCTCAGAGGTGAGCAGCGCAGCCATGGTCAAGATTAAGGCCCGGGACCTGCGCAGCAAGGAGGAGCTGCTGAAACAACTGGACGATCTGAGGATGGAGCTGTCTCAGCTTCGTGTTGCCAAGGTGACAGGTGGTGCTGCGTCCAAGCTGGCCAATCCATCGCCAGTGCCCTCACTATCTTTAACCAGACTCAAAGAGAAAACCTCAGGAAATTCTACAAAGGCAAGAAGTACAAGCCTCTAGACCTGTGACCCGAGAAGGCTAGAACCATGCGCCGCTGGCTCACCAAGTACGAAGAGAAGCTGAAGGCCAAGAAACAGCAGCGGAAGGAGAGACTACACCCACTGGGCTAGTATGCGGTCAAAGCCTGAGGTGGCAGCGACAATAAAGTGCAAAACGGGGGTGGGGGTGGGGTGGGGGTAAGTGGGTTTTAGTAACCAGAAATTTCCACTATCGTTGTTTTAAAAGAACCAAAACTACATTTCCCAGAAAAAGGAAATGGCCCCAATGCCTAAAGTCGCGAATCAGCAAAAAATACAGGCTCCTGAGTCAGGAGCATCTATCAAGCATTAATTACCAGGCTCCCTGGTGGACTACTCTCACTTGCGTTTTCATTTATTGGCCAGGAAGACACCCCAGAGATGACTCCTGATGGCCCTGGGCGGGATGGGGTTCCAAGCCTCTGGCCGAGGTCCTTTGAAGCTAAGGCCAGATCCTTAGGAGGAGCTGAGATAGGGTTTAGAGAAGAATCATGGAGGTGCCAGGGACCCTGGAGAGCCGCACCCAGCTCGCAGTGCGTCAGAAGGCAGGCAAGGGTGACTTGGATCCCTGCCAAGGAATGTCCTAGGCCACAAGAGTGCAGCAGCCCTGATGTCCCGTACGCTGCCGCTTCTTCCTGCGCCGTCCCTTCGCCCTTCCGCAGCAGTCGTACCGGCAGCCTGGGTCCCTTTAAGAGCTCTGCGCACCGGGCCTCCCTTCCGCCATGGCCGCTCAGCTGCTGGAGGAGGACCTGACTTGCTCCATCTGCCTGGGTCGCTACCGGGACCCGGTGTCGCTGCCCTGCGGCCACAGCTTCTGCGCTAACTGCATCCAGGACTCCTGGCGCTGCTGCGAGGAGAAGACGTGCCCCCAGTGTCGCCAGCCCTTTCCAGAGGGACCCAAGCTGGGCCGGAACTTGGCGCTGAGCGCCTTGCTGCAGGCCCTGCCTACCGCCATCCCCCGCCAGGAGCCCGGCGCCCGCCGCAGTGCTCACTGCCCACACCACGGGAGGCCACTCGAGTTCTTCTGCCACACCGAGGGCCTCTGCGTGTGCAGCGCATGCACGGTGCACGAGTGTCGCCACCACGAGCGGGCGCTGCTGGATGTGGAGCGCCGTGCGCGGGAGGTGCAGGAGGGGTCCTCTCAGAGAGCGGAGACTGTTCACGGCGTGGGTCGGGGGGGGACGGGGCGGGGGGGGGAGGAAGACCCCGGTTCCCACAGGAGCCCAGAGGGCCTGTGCACCTGACTTGCGGCACCCAGCCCTCACTCTGTCCTCTGAAGTAGAGCCAGAGTGTTAAGCTAGGGCTGGCAGCCCCATTCGCTACTCTAGCCAGCATTCAGTAAGTGTGCAGGCCACAGGCACAGAACGGGAGGGGGCGGGGCTGTATATAGCTAATCAGTCACCGTGCTTTCTGCCCTCCCGAAACTGAAACTTAAAGAGTCAGATAGTGTCCCAGCAAAACCTGGATGTTTCCTTCTACAGAGACAGCAGCTTAAGAGGAGGAGGGAGAGGTGGTCTTTAGGGATGAGGAAGTGCTAGCCAGAAAAAGAGGATGTGGGGATGGGCAGAGAGGCTTGCCCATGTGACGATTTGGGGCAGGAGACAGGTCCCTGAGGATCTCCAAACAGGTTTCCCAGGTCATCAGGGACCAGACCATGGTGGGCAGCAGGGTGGCGGTGACTTTTCCTCCAGGGATGTGCAAAGCCTTTGCAAGCTTGAGTCAAGGCAATGATGTCATCGGATCTCTGCTTTACGGAGGTTGAGCCTCGGCTGGGGTGTGGAGGGGATAAGAGATGAGACCCGAGGGAGGGAGAGAGGCCACCGCTGGAAAGCACAGAAATGAGTGGGGGTCCAGGGCGCAGTGGAGGTGGGTAAGAAGCAGGGACAGCTAGGGAGAAGGTTTCTGGGCGAGGGGCTGCTGTGTGCTGACGGTGTAGAGTGCAACTGGTTTGGGGGACGTAGCGTGTGGATGCAGCGGGCACATGGGGACAGGGAAGACAGCATCTGCTGGGAGCTCGAGGAGAGGTGGGCAGCAAGGAGAAGGCTGGAAGTCATTGGCGTTCCCTGGAAGGAGTACAAATTTGCTGGGCAAGGGACGTCCTGCCTGCAATTACATCCTGACAGAGCTACAGAGATGGTGGCCAGCGCCCAGCCAGTTACAGGAGGGAGAGTGGTCCTCAGGGGTTCCATGCTGCTGAGAGGTTTGGTTAAATGGCAAAAATGACCTGGGAGTTGGCACCACAGTGGTGGCCTGTGCTGCCGCCCATGGCCGTTACAGCCAGGGACCAGGGATGTGAGGCTGAAGTTACAAGGGATGGAGAGAGGAGAGAGGATGAACAAGAAGCAGAGGGGTGACTGAGAAGCCTGTTGGACAGGGAAGAAGGGGGCAGGGCTGCTGGTGGAGGATTGACGTAAGTGGCTGGAACCAGTGATGGAGAGTCGTAGGTGAAGGTGGATTCTTGGGAAGACCTTTTGGAGCTGGAGACATGGCTAGGGTGAGGTCAAAGGGTGAGTGGAAGGGGAAAAAAAGGAGTTTCAGGGGGTTGGAGGGAGCCCTGGAGCTGCTGGATGGGACCCTGCTGACCGACACAAGTGGAGGAGAGCAACCCGGGCTCAAACACTTGCAGGGGAAGTTAGTCAGAAGCACGGAGGATGCTTCAGCCAGATGGCTCCCACTCCAGGACACAGAATTTTGCTTCAGAGCAGAGAGGATGCAAGGCACAGGGTGCTCAAGGGCCGCCTAGGCTGACATACACAGTGTCAAACAACAAGAAACCCTGTCTTAAGGTAGAGGGCACCAACTGAAAAACCTGAAGTTGCCCTCTGACTTTGCATGTATGCTTTGGCATACATGCATGGACCCACACTTACATAGCCACAAATATTTGTTTAAAAATAAATTCCTGGCATGGAGATGCATGCCTCTAATTCCAACACTCTAGAGGCAAAAGTAGGAAGATCTCTGTGAGTTTAAGATCAGCTTGGTCTACACAGAAAGTTCCAGGCCAGCAAGGCTACATAATGAGATCCTGTCTCAAAGCAACAATGGTAAGGGACCCCAATTCAAAATGGTGTTGGAAGGATTAAAAATGGGCAATGAGACTCTTAACCGGCTTAAGCATCAGCTTCCAGTAGCAGAATGCTGTTCCCAGCTCCTGTGAAAGTACATTTTGGTCCTCAGAGGAGACAAAAAGCAACCTAATAATAATAATAATAATGTCTTTTCTTTGGGCTCTTATGCCCTGAATTGATGACTGCTCAGACAACTCTGGCCATCTCCCTTTTTGCTCCAGACTCTGTCAGCCGGCGTTGGTGCACTCATTTGTTGCCTGGGGTAGGGGTGAGGTTATGAACAGAGAAGGTGGGAGCTCTGCCCAGGTCACTCAACATACAAGATGCAGGAGTGGGGACTGGAAGTCAGGTCTTCAGCACGAGGCTTTCAGCTTTCTCATATAACACCCTGCTCCATGTAGAGAAAGGTCCCAGTCCAGGCCTCCCTGGGACTCCAACCTGGTTCTGGGAATTTAACAAAGTAGTCCTCCATGAGTGGCATGGGAAGAGTGCCTAGCATCCATGTTGGTGGTGGCATGAGGCGAACCTCACAACTAGTCCTAGCCTTCTTTTGTTGCTTGCCCCCTGGATGGGTGCCACAGGACCAGCTGAGAGCTAGAGTGGCGGTTACCCAGCAACAGGTCACCCAGGCAGAGAGCCAGCTTCAGGAGCTGCAGCAGCAAAGCAGTTGGATTGAGGTACTTCACCATGTCCCCATGCTAGTCCCTGGCCTGCAGGCAACCTGTGTAAGCTGCCTCGAAAATACCTCCTAATGTAAGGGAGCGGGAGGTTGAGCAAGAAGCCAGGCCCCAGTGGGGAAGAGGTTCCAAGGGCCCTGACTGACTCCCTGTGTCCCCACCCTTCAAGCCAGTGGGTGACTGAGGGCCTGGCCTGCGTAGCCATAGTGCTGAGACTGGCCACCCTGAGGTTCCGCCTGTGCCCATGCAGAATTCAGCCTGCACCCTGGCCTCAGTGGTCTCCAAGAGATTCTGCAGCCTGCTACAGGTGCTGGAGGAGCAGCAGACCAAGATACTGAGAGACATAGAGGTGGCCAAGAAGCAGGCGCTGGGCCAGGTTTTGAATGAGGAACAGCGGCTGGCTGGCCACCTGAAGGCCCTAGCTCAGTATGGCCACAGTGTCCAGGATCTCCTGGAACAGGTGGATGACTACAGCTTCTTCCAGGTACCAGATTTCGGGGCATCGGGCTAGGGCCTTGCTTCTGTGCCTTGCACCCACTCACTGCCACTGTCCCTGGGCATCAGGGATTACAGCAGCTCTCTGAGCCCCTGGAGTCCCTCGGGCCACTGACCCCTCCACAGTGGAATGAAGAACAGCAGCTGAACAGCGTGAATGAGCTGCTAAGCCCACTGTGTGAGCTCCTCCTTGAAGAGAAGAACCACGCCAAGGTGGCAACCAAAACTGCCGACACTGTTCCTGTGGGTAAGCCTGCCTTCTCCTCGCCCTCTGGGCTCTACCCTCCCTCCCACCAATGGGTAGAAGAGAGGAGTCAGGAAAGATCCCTGCCCTCTTCCCTGATTCTGCTTTGTTCTTTAGAGGCCTCGGGTTCCCTGCCACCAGTCCCCAGCACAGTGTGTCCACTGAGGAGGAAACTCTGGCAGAGTAAGGAGACCCGTGCCTGTGTGTGTGTGTGTGTGTGTGTGTGTGTGTGTGTGCGTGTGCGTGTGCGTGTGCGTGTGCGTGTGCGTGTGTGTGTGCGTGTGTGTGTGTGTGTGCGTGTGAGAGTATATAAATACATACACAAGCCTGTGTATGTATGAGGTGGGAGACCTGCTCCGACTGTCCTGTCCACGGCCCCTCCTGGGCCTGGCCCCACCTCTGCACACCTGTCACAGGATGCAAACCTTGTCCACCTCCACCCTGAGGCAGATGCAGCCAGCATGGTGTTAAAGGGCAGATTCTGACCATGTGGATCTGGGGTCCATCACAGCTCTTCCACTTAATACTATGTGAGCTTAACTCTCTGAGCCTCAGTTTCCCGACGTGTAACATGGAACATGTAGAGGGCTTCGGCTCAGAGGTAGCAATGAGGAAGACACTAGTTGATGCCCCGTGTTCAGCCCACAGCATGCCGGTCGACATTTAAACTGTCTGTAAGTGGAGCCACAGTAACTCTGTGCTCTAGAGGGGGGGAAAATGACGCCTTTGCCCACTTCTATTCATCTCTCTCCAATAGATTATCGCAACCTGACCTTTGACCCAGACACTGCCAACCAGTACTTACGGTTGTCCCACAAGGACCGGCAGGTGACACACCATTTGCAGGTCCAGGGCCCAGCCAGGCCAGGCAGCTTCGAGCTGTGGCAGGTGCAGTGTACCCAGAGTTTTCAGACTGGGCGACATTACTGGGAGGTATATGCCTCTGACCACTCCGTCACTCTGGGCATCACTTACCCAAAACTACCACGCCGAAAGCTGGGGACCCACACGGACAACATCGGTCGTGGCCCCTGCTCATGGGGCCTCTCCATCCAGGAGGACAATATCCAGGCCTGGCACAATGGCAAGGTCCAACGTCTGCGTGGGGTGCCCGGGCGGCTCCTGGGTGTGGATTTGAACTTGACCGTGGGCTGCCTCACCTTCTACAGCCTGGAGCCACACACGGAGCCACTGCACACCTTCCATGCAGTGTTCAGCCAGCCTCTCTTCCCCGTCTTCTGGCTCCTTGAAGGGAGGACCCTTACTCTTCGCCATCAGCCTGAAGCCAAGCTCCCCCCAGGGCCCCGGGAAGAGACCACCACGCTCAGCTGAAGGAAGCACAGACAGGTGCCAATGTGCTTGTGTGCTCAAGAGTGGCTCAGCCTCTGGCTTGGAGGTCAAAGGTCACTATTCTAAAAAGAATAGGGGCTGGCTTCTCTGTTGAATCAGAGGAGGGAGATGGGAGCAGAGGCCCTGAATCCAGGCTTATTTATTACTTTCTTTGAAGGGATGGGGGGGGGGCAGAAAGAAATCAAATAGGAAACCCCAACCCAAAGCAAGAACCACATTCTTGGCATCGCCTGGACGTTGTTCTATTGCTGTGAAGAGACACCGTGACTAAGGCAACTCTTATAAAAAGAGAGCATTTAACTGGGGGCTTGCTTACAGTTTTAGAAGCTAAGTCCATGGTTATCATGGCCGGAAGCAGATGGGCATGGAGCAGTAGCCGAGACCTTCACATCTTGATCCACAGACACCAGGTGACACATGTCCTCCACCAAGGCCTGTGGGGACTGAGCACGGGCTGCAGAGAGCCGATGTGTGATGGGTATAGGTGCTGTTTGCCTTTGCTACTCCCCAGTGTGCTTCTGTGAGGGCCCGGGTCTGTTTTCTCATACTTCTTGAAGTAGAATTCTTTTTTGCACTGGGTATAGAACCTGGAGTGTTTTCTGTGCTAGACAAAAAGGCTCTGCCCTCTCTCGCTGACCATGCCTACAGCCTGGTGTGATTTATTTACCTGAGATGCCACGTTCTGGTCTTGGTGGTAGCTGCAAGGATATCCACTTTGGTAACTTCTTTCTCTTTTCTTTTGTAACTCCTTACACTTTTGTTTTGTATGCTCATGAGCAAATGTCTCACAATAAAAATTTTTAGAAATTCTTTATGTTTAATTTAGTACGGGTCTCAGTGCAAGGTGGCTTGTATGCATCCTGGTATGCATGCAGAGGTCAGAGGGCAGCTTGCTGAAGTCACTTCTCTCCTTCCACCGTGTGGGCCCTGAGATGGGGCCCAGACTGTCAGGCTTGGCAGCTGGCCCTTTTCCTGCTGTGTCATCCCACCAGCACCAAAAGAACAGCTTTCGTTGTTGTTTGAGACAGAGTGTCACTACGTTATCCTGGCTGGCTTAGAACTTTGTAGACCAGGCTGGCCAGCTCACAAAGATCTGCCTGCCTCTGCCTTCTGAGCACTTGGGTTAATGAGCCTTAAGTGGCCTGTAAGAGTTTTTAAAGGGTAATGTGTGCGATAATATATACCCTGGGAAAGACAGAAATGTTTTACATGAATGATTAAGCATTTCTTTCTTTAAATTTTTTTTTTTATGTGTATGTGTATTTTGCCTGCATGTACTGTGTGTGTACAATGCCTGAGGAGGCCAGAAGAGGGTGTCAGATCTCCTGGAACTGTAGTTTCAGACTGTTGTGAGCCTTCATGTGGGTGCTGAGAGCCAAACCTGGGTCCTATGTCTCTGGCCTTGAGACAGTCTTGCTATATAACCTAGCAAGCTGGAACTCCCTACAAAGCCCACTCTGGCTTCACACTCACTGCTGTCCAGGTGTCCTCCTCCTGCTTGACTTTTTTGTGGAGTGAGGGGGTCAAGATGAGGTCTTCATGTATAGCCTGATTTCAATCGGGTGGCAATCTTCTGCTTAGCCTACCAACTGTTGGGATTACAGGCATGAACTGGGAGCCACCACACCAGCTAGGTTTTTATAAGCCAGCCAGGGTTACATAAGAGTAAGACCACATTCCTATGAGGTTATTCAGCTGCACTTGTGTTGTGGGTTGTTTGTTTGTTTATTTGTTTGTTTTTCCTGGCCCCAAGCTCCCAGAATAACAACTCAGACTCAAAATACATTGATAAATACCAAGGCCATACAGCTAGGCTCATTCCCTGATTAGTACATAACTTAAAAACCTATTTATTCTAATCTAAATTCTTCAGCATGACTGGTTACCTCTGGTTAGGTACCATGTCCTCCTCACATCTTCCCTGACGCATCTCCCCACACCTGGCTCTATCCCAGAATCCTTTCTGCCTGCCGGATGTCCCTCCTTTTATTCTTCCCTTTCCTATAGGCCATAGGTTGTTTGTTTGGTTGTTGACAGCTGTTGCATCCATTCAATACACAAGATAGTCTCTCTACACACTTGCCCCACCCCCTCTGCAGGGCTGGCTGTGGCAAGGTGTGTAACCTATCAGGTTTCCATTCGCCTCCCTTCTAGATGGGATGGAATTAGAGTCAGGTGTGAGCACATTCTTGCAGTGAACGGAAGTGTTGTTACCTGTGCCCTTAATGACAAATCAGTTCTGAAAGACTTCAGAAAACAATGTCTCAGCCGGGGATTGGGGTGCACACCTTTGATCCCAGCACTCTACATGTGAATATCAAAAGCACAAGCTAGTGGTACCAACAACAAAAATTACTGAAGAATAGGATTCTTTTTTAATTTTAATTTTCTTTTTTATTTACTTTACATGCTAAGGGTGCCCCACCCTCTTCCCTTCCCAGTCCCTCATTCTCGCCTTCTCCTCTCCCTTTCCCTACAGAAAAGAGGAACTCCCCTCCCCCCATCGACCTTCCCCAGCACATCAAGTCACATCAGGACTGAGCATATCTTCAGCCCCAGGCAAGGCAGCCCTGCCAGGGGAAAGTGATCCAAAAGCAGACAATAGAGTCCATGTTAGATACAGCCCCCACCCACTCGACAGGCGCCCATATGAAGACCCAGCCACCCATTGGCCACATGTGTGCAGGGGGCCTAGGCCCAGATCATGCCTGCTCCTTAGATGATGTCTCAATCTCTGAAAGCCCCCATGGGACTGGGTTAGTTGTCTCTGTTGGTCTTCTTGTGAGGTTCCTGTCCCCTCCAGGTCCTTCCATCTTTCCCCCAACACTTCCACAGGACCCCAGAGCTCCACCCCATGCTTGGCTCCAAGTCCCAGCATCTGTCCTGATCCGCTGCTGGCTGGAGCCTCCCAGACGACAGTCAAGTTAGGCTCCTATCTGCAAGCACAGCAGAGTATCATTAATAGTGTCAGGGGCTGGCTCTCTGCCGTGGGGTGGGTCTCAGGTTGGGCCAGTTATTGGTTGGATTTTCCCTCAATCTTTGTGGCCTCATTACCCCTGCACTTTTTGAACACAGGGTAATTTTTGGATCACGGGTTTTGTCAGTGAGCTGTTCTCCTCCTTCCAGTGGTCACTTCAGTCTTCATGTCGTCGTCCCCCCCTCGTTAGGGGTCTCAGCTACAGTCACACCCATGTCCTCCCAGGAGCCTACCCTGTCCCAGGCCTCCAGCTCGACAAAGAGATGTCCCCGATCAGTTTCCTTCTTGTTCCCAACCCTCTCACCTCCCACCCCATAGGAAAGGATTCTTAACAATAGCATTAAACAAAAAGGTAACTTACAAAAGCCTCATTTACAAGACTCAGGAACTGATCTTTTTTTCTTTTTGGGGTTGTATGGGTGATAACTTTGCTCCTCATGGTTGTACCATGGCACTTTAACCACTGAGACATTTGTCCAGCACCTAAAACTTGAAGAAGGAGGGGAAGATGGAGAGAAAGAAACAAAGAAAAAATGGAAGGAAGGCAGACAGGAAGGAAGGAAGGAAGGAAGGAAGGAAGAGAAAGAAAGAAAGAAGAAAGGAAAGAAAGAAGAACGGAAAGAAAGAAAGGAAGGAAGAAAGAAAGAAGAAAAGAAAGAAAGAAAGAAAGAAAGAAAGAAAGAAAGAAAGAAAGAAAGAAAGGAAGGAAGGAAGGAAGGAAGGAAGGAAGGAAGGAAGGAAGGAAGGAAGACAAGCCCCTTATTTTCTGTGTATGGATGTTTTGCCTACTTGTAAGTCTATGCGCCGTGTGTGTGCAATGGCCAAGGGAGCCAGAAGAGTGGGCCTAATCCCTGGGACTGGGGTTATAGATGTTTGTGAGCTGCCATGTGGGTTCTGGGAATAAAATCTGGGGAGCTCTGCAAGAGCAGCCAGTGCTCTTAACTGCTGAACCATCTCCCCAGGCCCTAAAAAAATTAAATATGTTTAGCAATCTACCCTGGGCCACAAGATGCTTCAGTGGGTAGAAGTTCTTGCCATGCATGTCTAATGACCGGAGTTCAGTCCTTGGAATCCGTGGTGGAAAACACCACGTGGAACACACACACATACACACCACACTAATATGTACATGTTTTAAAATTAAAAAAAGAAAAATTACCAGCATTGACAAATCACATCTCCACGCTTGCCTTCTGGGCGGATCAAAGGAACAGTGAGCTGCTGTATGGGGAACAAAGGCATTACTTGGACACACCTTTGAAGACCCTCCTTAACCTTCGGAACCAGGCATGTCTACCGTCTGTGCAAACCCAAGCAGCCTGGCCACGCTTGGGTTGAAGGGAGGTGCTGTGGCCAGCCTCCCAGCCACGCCAGGAGCTTGGCAAGCAGGCCACAGGCATGATGGAGAGCGCCCGTGGAGGCCAACGCATGGAACCCATTATCTGCTTTCCTGCCAAGCAGGGTCCACCCAGGCTGTCTCCCACACACGGCTCCTTCTGTCCAGAAGGCCTTTCCCACCCCTGTCTCCATCCGCCCGAGTGCAGCGGTCGGTGACCACCCAGCTCAGATGCCGCTTCCACATCCCACCACCCCCAGCCCCACCCAGGAATCCCCAGGCATCACAGTGCTTCTGTTTTGGCGTTTTTTCCCTACCTAAGAATGGCACCCTTTCGAGTGACAGTACCCAACCGCCAGTGGCTCACAACCACCTGGAATTCCAGCTCCTGGGGTCAGGGGCCTCCTCCAGCCTCTTCAAGCACACACAGCATGTACTTACACAGGAACAGATAAAAAAAAAACTAACAGAGTCTAGAGAGATAGCTCACCATTTAACACTGCTTTTCCTGCCCTTCCGTAGCATCAGTTCTTCTCCCAGGACCCACAGAAGATAGCTAACAGCCATCTTTAACTCCAGCTCCAGGGGAGATCCCACACCTCTGGTTCGGGCAAACACTAGCCCTCACATGGACAGATACACACATACACATAATTAAAGCTAAAATTGGAGGAGAGGAGGAGAGGAGGAGGAAAAAGCAAAAGAAGAGGAAGAAGAAGAAAACAGAAAAACTCTTGGGGCTGGAGAGATGGCTCAGTGGTTAAGAGCACTGGCTGCTCTTTTAGAGGATCTGGGTTCAATTCCCAGCACCAACATGGCGGCTTTAGTTGCTTCAGTAACTTCAGTTCCAGGGGATCCAATGCCCTGGAATGCCTCTTCTGACCTCTGCTGGTACCGGGCATGCCCATGATGCCCAGATATGCAGGCAGGCAAAACATCATACAGATAAAATACAAATAAAGTAAGAACAACTTTAAAATTATAAAGGATTTTTAATTAAGATAGTAATAATGTCAGGGTAATGTCATCAGTCTGTGGATCTGGCCCTGGTACACAGCAGAGCTCAGTCGCCCAGCTGCCGAAAATCAGAGTTGTTGTCTAGGAAACGCTCTATCCTACTCTGTTCCAGGAGCCCTGAGGGGCTGTACAACACACAGCTTACTTCTCAGAGGGACTGGCGCCCTTTTAGCTCTTCTTTGTCCTCTCACAGCCCACAGCCCATCACTAAAGGCTTGGGGGACTGGGACCAGAACAGGACCTAGGCAGGCTTTGAAGGGTAAAGCCTTGTATCCACAGGGAGGGGAGGACTGAGGAGACAGTCACCTGCCTTTTCCTGGGACCAGTGAGAAAACAGCTCCCTGTCCCAAGTAGAAGAAAAAGTGAATAGAGAAGTCTTCTGCTGGCCCAGCTCTCCGTGGACCCTGGGCAGCGTCTGAGTGTGTGGGGCCATTAAATGGCTGCTTGGTTCTAGCCTGCTTGGAACCCATGATTTATACT